ATTCTAACAATACTACTACTGAAAATAGTAACTATGATAATGAAGTACTAAGTCTAACCAAAAATTACTATGCAAAGACACCGAACACGTTTCGGAGCGATAAGGTTTAACTTTTCAAAAGTCAGTTCGAGATCAAGTGTTGTAATACTGGACCTTCAAAAGAGATACGTTATCTCAAATCAGTTCAATTGATGCACAAGCTATTATTGGGCTAGATCAAACCACTTCATCCATATTTAGTTTTACACAATTCGATTCCCCCACATATGCCATGAGAATGATAGGAATACTATACTGACATGGAAGTTTACAGTGCTCTTCAGACAACTGGCCAGAATAGGATTTCAAACAACAGTTTCCGTGTTGTGGGTCACGGCATTGATGGACGCACCCTGCGCACTGCATGTTAGTTACATACCATCCAAATTGAACTCGCCATAAGCAATTTTCTATCGTCGTTGGATGAAGTTTCCAGACATTTAATGAATATCCAATGGAACATGTTGAGGAAAGGTATTTAGAAATGGACATTAGGGGAGGAACACTTAAAGTACGATGGACATTTCCGAACCGATCGAGCACTATGAAAACCAGTAACATTTTCAATCAACGGTGGATCTAGAACCATGCAATCATACAGACATACATGGATTTATTCAGAGTTTGATTGTATTGTCCTCGTATGCTGTTACACAAGGCTGTTTTAATCGTCATCCACTTGCGTGTTTTGTAGTAGCTTTTTGGCCTGCGATCTCAAAGTCGTCCTTGTCCATCTATCGATGGTCAGTCAAGTTAATGATGCATTACAGGAAGGCCAATTCGTGTGTACAATTTTGGAAATAAAAAAACCGATCGCCTTCAAAAGAGGCCTGCTACACGGAGGGGCATTAGCATTCAGGCATGCCGTTATTGGATGAAGACACTGTGTGTGATATGATCTGAGATGGATGCCAACGCCTAAACATTTCACCACTGTTTCCGTGTTTCGACCACATTTGATGAAAAACGTTAGTTAGCCTTCAGCCTAAGCAAAACACGATCATACGAATGGATCTTAGAAAGACCATTCAGCAAAAGTTCACCACTGTGTGTTTGGACCACATTTGATGAAAAACGTTAGTTAGCCTTCAGCCTAAGCAAAACACGATCATACGAATGGATCTTAGAAAGACCATTCAGCAAAAGTCACTCACTCAGATGGTGGCAGAGGATTTAGTCCGAGGGCAGTGATATATTCATTTAGTGTCACTTTTCCGTCGGCATCCAGATCAAACAAGTTCATAAATTCCTGGAAAAAAAGAGGAAATTTATCCAAATTTTTTTTAAACAGAAGTAACTAGTCGCCTAATGGCCAGATAATCATAGTATTTACATGGCCGCAAAGAAAGGTATAATAGAAAAATCCTCCTTTCATAGACAGTTATCGAAAACAGCACCTACACGTTAGGACCTTTTCATCAGTTATACAATACTTTTCAATTAAAATACTTGAAAAGCAAGGAAAGGAGACCAGTCCTAGAGGATCTATCCCCTATGTCCCACATAAGATCAAACAGAGCACCGAGATCATCACCAACGCCTCATTGCTTTTACGCCACCGTAAGAAGAGTTTTGTCATAGGCACTGGAAATGTCCCCGTGCCTTTCAGTCTCCAAAACATACAATTTTACGTTTTATTAGGTAATGTTTCGCAGGTGAAAATCGGCTAAAACTGCCTTATACATCCGACATATATCAACCGCATAGGGAGCATGTAAGCACAAACCGGATGGTCGATCGTAGCACCTCACCCACAACTCTTATGCAGGACATTAATACCGCGAGACGGTCTACGCCAAATTACTGGTGTGTGTCGTTCCTTCTCCAGGTGAACTCTACACATACTATTGAAAGGTGGAGCTATCAATTGGTCAGAGTGCAGCTGGCTCTGACAGGAAATTCTTTTTGATGTTGTCCGTACATAGTGTGCGAATGTGTAGATTAGTAAGTGCAATTTAGTTATGGACTGAAAAAGGTTGCTGGAAACCTGAACAGGCTTTGTTGATGACTTACGACGAGAGTCAAACGCTTGGTTTGTCCAGATGGTCGCCAAATCTGTATTTCTTGGTTCTACGCACAATGTGGTGCTTTGTGAGTTGCATCATAGTCTAAACCTCAAAACTTCGTGCGGTTCTGAATACATTTGATGTCATGCATCCAGCATGCGTGCTTGTGCTGCAGTTTTTACCTGGCACTGAGGATTTACCTGCTAAAATCACGAGCTTTTGTTCTTCTGACGTGCTCACCAATATTGGTTTGAACTTGTCTGACAGTCTCCCCTTAAATAACCTTATTGGAACAGTTGTAACTGATTTCATATTCAGTTTGTGATTCTTTGTGTAAAGAGCCAAAGCTATACAGAGTGCAATTCTTCTTTTATGGAACAGTATGATAATGTTGGCTTCACTCATAAAACTTAGAACGGCTTCAGAAGTTTGTGTGTTTGGGAAACACTGGTGCCAACCGCTGCAAACGCTCTGTCCCCAAACTCGATCAGGAAACTTGAAAGAAGAACCGCTCAGAAACTGATTGTGAAACAGGTCTGAAAGTACAGACATGATAAACAAATAGTGAACGATGAATAAAGCCTACCAATAATATGAGTGATGTGAGATAGACGATAAGGTAATTAAGCCATGAAGTTGCTGCAGAGAATGTCGGTAGATATCACCACTTTATGTGAAAAACCTATTTAAATCTGCACTACTTCAAAGGATGTAATGTGGGTTGGCCCCATATGAGGGCACACCTGTGCTATTGGACACGAGGGTGTTTAATTCACCGGATTAATTTTTTGATAATAAATGGACCTGGACGAACTTTTCCACAAATTTTCGCTTTAGTGGTGTGTCGGGAATTATTCATTTCACTCTTCAGTCTATATGCAAATCTGGATGTGCCTTACTCTTAGTATGATCTGTCAAAACAAACTGACTGAAAACATACACCTTTCAGCGAATGGCATCAACTGTTGCTAGGCTGTTAAATTCCAGGTCGATTTTATCCTGTACCCGCTAACGATCACGCTCTTCATTTTCGTGGTACGTGCCCTTCGGTCTTCCTGACTTTGAAGTTGTCAGTTGTGAGAAATATGCGTCGGAAGCATTCATTCTCGACAGAGAACTTGATTTCGGTTGTTTTCACATAAACACGAAATTAAACACATCAGAGCCCCAGTGTGCAGCCAGATTGAATAAAATGTAAAATACCAAGTGTAAGTTCTTTTTGCAATGACTTTCGCCTGCATCTCCTTAGAGTGTTGCGGCGTCAAACCTTGGACTGCAGTTTTTGGATACGTTGTGACCAAGATGAATAGATTTGTGATTATTACCCTAATAGAGATGGAAATGGACCTCTGTGGGGGCACTTTTGGCCTTAGAATACGGTAAACGAGAGATTCAGCTAAGTTCTCGGTTAGCCTCCCTTTGCTTTGTAAGTATGTGCTTTGTTTCACATAAGATCAGTAATGTTTATATGGCAGATTCAACGCAACACTCGAAGGAGCATCTAAAACACGAACATCACAAGACTGGCAGATATCAGCCCAATTTTCTATCCGACACATTCAGTAACAACACTATCATGGCAAATGCCTTTTTGCGCTAGTACTGGGGCCTAAATATTCAGAAGGTTCTGAGTGATACAAGCAGTCTAACGTTCTATCTACACATTCAGTAACAACACTATCATCGCAAATGCCTTTTTGCGCTAGTAGTGGGGCCTAAATATTCGGAAGGTTCTGAGTGATACAAGCAGTCTAACAAATGAAAATTGAAGTCGGTCGGATACCACAGAACAGCAAGTGATGTATTCCCGATTACTGACGGTTGATTATGAGTTATTGCAGGGAGCTTTGCTTTGATCAAGAAAAGTGAAACTCGGTTCACATGGCAAAGCTCAACTGAAACATTTTGTATGCATATTAAGTTTTCATGGTTTGCCAGAAATTTGTCAATTTCTGTTTTTTTTTGGTGTAAAATTCGGTGAAATTCGTAGTGCACAAGTTAAACAGGCCCTTTGGTTAACATTCATACATCATCAGCACTGTTGATACGCTGTCTAAGTTGGCGCCCTTTGTTTTATTCACACAGAGAGGCTTTGGGATTTTCAGTGTCTCGTCCATCAGCTGTTAAAGTGAATGAATCACAGTCTTTGCCTCAATACGATCATTTTCCACGTCGGTTATGTCCACTGTTTCATGACTGTCTAGCAATGCTTGATCCTTGAATCCATGGTCCACACTAGATGGGACACTTAAATGAAAATCTCTTCCATCCGGTAATTTGCTCTGTACAAAGCCAAGATTACAATAATCCTTTTTCCTAACCCGAAAGATTTCACAGAGGAATCACACGGAATTTTCAACATGCTCAGAGTTAAATAGAGTCAATCCAAAATATACAAACAAAAAACATGCTGTTGGAAGTGTTCATGAACCAGGTATGGTGGCTGATGGGGACGATTATTAACAAAACCGTAGTCCGGCAACCAGTTCATCCAAAATGCACCGTGCGGTTTTCTACCATGTCAACAACTAAGCGAAGGGTTTATTTCCAGTGGATATTTACATGTCCTTTACTGTACTTGTAGCGACCCGGTCACCCACATACTTGATTGTTCAACTCACAGTCGCTCACTGGATCGCGAGGCTTGTTTTTTTTCTCACATTCACAAACACGTCGCATTAAGCTGACTCATCGGACATCGATTGTCTGCACCGCCTAGTCAGCGCAGCAACCACTCATTTGCCGACGCGCCCACATACACGCACTGGGACCTAAATAAAGGCAAACCGAACCCCGTCAAGACAGACTCGCGCGCGCGCAGGGAGCAGGACGTCAACCTCTCCACAAGTCCACGGACAACCATGGAATACGTGTAGCAGCCAGACTGCGGAGAAAACACGTTCCCACCGTCCGGACTTTCACCAAGGAACTCACATACGATAAGTTCCCTTTTGACTCGCTCTCATTTCGCACTGTATTTTTTTATACGCGTTGCAACCCTCCACTGTCCACCATACTAAAAACTTCTATTGGNGCAGGACGTCAACCTCTCCACAAGTCCACGGACAACCATGGAGTACGTGTAGCAGTCTAACTGCGGAGAAAAGCACGTTCCCGCCGTCCGGACTTCCACCAAGGGACTCTCGCACCCGATAAGTTCCCTTTTTGACTTGATCCCATTTTCGCACTGTATTTTTTTTATACGTGTCACAGAAATACTAAAAACTTTTATTAGTGCACATTCACCTTCTGATTTGTATTTTGGCTATCACCAACTGTGCACTAATATATTCTGTTGGAATTGTGAATCATAAAAAAGTTTTCTTCGACCAAAAGGGACTGAAAAACGATTTTAGGTACGCTATCCTTCTCTCAGAAGAAGGACTGTCTAATTTAACTTCTCGCAAATCTGCTTGGGGTTATCTTGGATTTCCAGCCTAGCGAGCTGTTATGAAACCCACAAGAAACTCAGAAATCGAGCCACAGCACTGACTCTCTCATGACTTTCAAACTGCCAAGAAGAGTTGTGTAAGGAGGGAAGTAACTGAGTTTGCGTTTTTCGTGTACAGACATACTTGGATTGTAATAATAGTCTACAGAGAGTTGCCCGTTAGAATCAGAGAACAGTTTAATGATAGAATGGGTCAGGGAAAAAGTACATAACTTTACAAAGTGGTGGATGACAGATATCACCTAAAATGTTGTTTCAAATTTTGGCAGAAACACTAACTTTGAGTTTTTTTTTGTCACTTGCCATGTTTGTAACAGAACAACAAAGCATGTTGGGAAGATTTACTTCCGTATAGCGACATTTCCGTGACGGGATCATTCATGCACTAAAGTTTCTTGACCCTAGAAGCCCGCGTGACAAATTAGGCAAGTATTGAGGAGTTGTGTGGTAATACAGAAGCGGAACGATTCAGAAGTATTCGCAAGCAACCGGTTTCAAATACCATGTAGTGGTGTGTGATCGCACGTGTATGTTCAACAAGTATGTTCAACATAGGCTGCATTTATTCATGTTTGGATTTTCGCCAAAGCATGGGGCTACTCTATAAACATCCATTCTTAAATCAGGAGGAGAGTGTCCGAGTTTTTAGGAGTATTCATAGAGTTCTAAACGTTTACAGGATCTAATGAACAGTTCCCAGGATTCAGGGAAACCTAGTCAAACTTCGGGAACGTCTACATTTAGGAGCCTTTTTCACATCAACGATTGCATCAGATGACAAGATGACAAATCTTTTGGCAGGAGTAATGCGTGTTTGGGCTTTGTAGCTGGAGCTTGGGTTCGGTAATAAAATGCGTTTATTTTGTTGCCTGTTGAGTTGTACGCTTTAGGTGTGGAAACTAAAAACAAAAATTTGGCATTCTTTTGAAGCCTGAAAGTGACTTGTGAAAGGGGACACTCTCCCCTTGACACAAATGAGCAAACAGAAGCATGCCCTTGATTTCAACACATTTGTCATCTCGAAGTTTATAACCGCCATCCGTTGAAGGATACATTTTTTGTTGATTTCATGAAGTTTTCCTGGTCGTGGTGCATTCCAATTTGCTTGAACCACATCTTGCCATTCGTACATGAAAGCAAATACCATTCTTTATAAGGAATCAAACGGCAAGGAGCAGTGCGTTGGAGTTTTGTCCCAGAGTAGAAACCAAATACCTTCTTCCCCTGCAATGATCTTTCGGCGTCACGGAGTAATATCATGTTTCCTGTATTGTCAGTTTGTTATGGGTCCTACTATGATGACTGTGATGGAACATGAAGCAGTTTTTGTAGTCCCACCCGTACGCAAATAGTAAACCGTGCTGGGTTTGAGTCCAGATCGGAGGTTAAGTGCATCACAATGATTCGTATGTCTAAGACAGGCTAATAACTGATCGAGTTCGATGGAATTCTACGTGGGGTTATATATGGACTTGTACTAGTTGGCCGCTAAGGTACATTTAGATTCTGGCTACCTAACCCAAGAGATGAATATACTCAACCACCAGGTGCCCACGCACAAAACCATGGTAGTGAGAATCCTCTGCACTCATAAACATCTTAGTAAAGTGTAAAAAGAAGCTACTATGTAAAGACAGATATATATATATATATATGTATATATATGAATGAAGTGGAATCCCGTAAACGTCATATTCCTTGCAATTTGATTTTTTGAATGCTAGGCGATCTGCTGATTGTGATGACCCTGATCCTATGGTTGGCGATGTCGATGTCGATGATGATAAGCATTTTGAGACTGGTCAACTACTGTGCAAGATTCGTTGAACACTGAAAAAAACCCAGTTTGACAATCCATACATGGCAAAGTTTCCTTGCTACTCTAGTGAATTAAGCCCAACCACTCAGAAAACAATGTTTTGTGAAGTTTACGGTAATCGGCTGCTTTTTGCTGGCTAACAGATATCAGTCTAAAAAGTTTCAGTTCTGCACACAACTAGAGAAAACGTCCATTGTTACAATATACACCGTAGACCTGGTTAAGAAAAAATAGAAGAGTGAGCTTCTATAGTCAACTTACATCGACGGCGGCCGGCGGGAGTCCTGAATTTTCTACGCATGTACGAACTTCTTTCGAACTTAGGGCTCCATTCCTATCTGTATCCATCGCATGGAACTTACGCAGGAGTCTTTCTCGCTCATGTGAACTAAATCGCATCTTAGTGATTTCGACAACTGACACCGATAGTCCGACTTCTTGAGGCGACCGAGTTAGGCACACTTCTGTGTCTACCCAATCAGTATTTGTATCAGTGCCTGGTTCACGTGACCAAACTTACCAACCAATCTGCTTACGCTGCAGTACGTAGTCTCACATACGTCTATTTCAATGATTAACAGATGTTGAGTTTTGTACTTGAGTTCCACACATACACTTGGTCGAAATTTTAGATCTTTTCAACCACAAACGGATAGCCTTTAAACAGAAGGTGCGCAAGCTGGAAATCATGATTCGGCTTCTTTAGGAACAGTGGATACAATCCGGTATCAATTAGATGAAATGTGAAGAATTCTAACACGTGGGAGTCTCGTTTAATTGGCACTGTCAGTCATATGAAGAGTGGATTGGAAGAGAGTGGAACTGGGTCGTTAGTGAACCCTATGGTTTCAAAAACAGGGTGACAACAACTCAAACTCTTGAAACCTACTGAAAGACACAAGAATGTTAATTCTTTTAGTGCCTCTTAAAGTAATTCCACAAAATAAGAGAAGTTGTCACTTTGTGTTTCTTTACGCCATCACTGTATGGTAGGTGAAGTCAGCTATAAAAAAGAACCGTCAACAAATTTGACTTGGGAAGTAATTTTTCTGATCATTTCCTTATTCTGAGACATAAGGAACGAAAAGTAAAGATGTCACGGTCATGCTGCTTTTAAAAAACTGGTGAAGCTTGCCTGACGATTATCTTGACAAATTCTTCTTTTGCCCAAAGGACTATGAATGTCCCGTCTATAAAACAAAGATGGAGGAGTACCATCGGCTTGAATTGTTGTCAGAGTGATGGATTATCGGTAGCTCGAGTCCATAGTTTGATAATCAATAAAATGGTTATCCGATCCGACAGAAGTGAATTATTAATATCAGGTGAAAAACGCTTGGAACCGATTGAGTAGTCATCGTTTTTGAAAACGTTTGGTGACAATTGGTGGATTTATTGCTGGGCAACGTTTCGCTTTTGACACAAAAGCTTCGACGGGCCAAGCAACTAGGTTCCCAGTTTGGTTGAGATTTAAGGCGGAAGGAGAACCAATCAGCTAAGTCAAGCTAAATCTCTGATGGGTGTCAGCCGAGGGATTTATGTGGGTGAGGGTGGGTGGACAAGTGTTGAGTTGATGGGGAAACCTACATGTGTTTGGGTTCAGCCTGGGGTCTAGCGCGTTTGTTAAGCCCTTTCAAGGTAAACTAGTGTCGTGGTTGATACATATATGGAACCCAATTTGCAAACGGTTGATAACATTCCACTCTAAGTTGTGATTCTTCTCTCCCATTCCTGTCCTGTTAAATGGGACCCGTCGTTCTTCCTTTCTTTATTGAGCCTAAGCCCCTATATCAACAACTGCCAGACAACTCTTTGACCTTGCAATTGCGCGCCAAGATCAGTACGGCCACGTAGCCTTTTGTTTTGATTTGGTGTGAAGTCTGGATAGGTGCGTTGTTCTCGATTACTTCTTTGTACAGGACTCACTTTGAACTCAGCGTCCAGGTACCTGAACCACGGAACGATCTGAAGCTTGCATCATCTTATCATTTTATTATTGCATTCATAGTAACGCATTTGTTGACACAATCTGCTGTTGAACGATTGAGCCTTTGAGGTTATGCATATAACTCAAAGGGACTCCCCCGGTTGGTAGGCGAAGCTAACAAAGAGGTAGTTTAGAAATGGCGACATCAGCAGTACAGTTGAATATTGAAAGTTAAATCATCACAGTGTGGATATCGTACCCATGTTCACAAACGTGCCTCTGAATGAAACTATAGGATTTATGGGCGATAGCGTTTACACTAAAGACAATATCATGTTATGTCAACGACGGAACTGAAAGATTCACTCCTATTCTGCGTAAAAATATCATTTTCAGCTTTCAAAATCAATATAAAAAAGAATAAGGATATCACTTTGGGAAGCCCACTTGGTTCCATCCTGTTCAGGTTAGGAAAGGTACATGCAAAATTCCGCCATACAGATCAATTCTACAGGAGGTATGGTTGCGAGATCGACGCAGGCAACATTGAAGCTTTGAAGGCATTGAACAGCACTCATATCAAGCCAGTGGGCAAGCATGATTGATATTTAATTGACATGCTGGGACAATAGAACACTTCATAGATATATTCGTTAAAAAGTACTTCGTATGGTCAGTATTTACATTCTTCTAGTTTCGGAGACGTGCTGTATAAGTGGTTTAGTTAAAACCTCTTATGTTAGAGCGGGAAGATTTGAACAGAAAACGCTATCGACCCCGAATTAGAATATCTGAACGGAATACTTCTCTCAAGAGGATACCCGTCAGAAGTTGTAAGGAAGCAGAGTGGAACTGAAAGGCAACGTCGAGTTGGACGGGAAGAACACATGCTAGTCTTGTGTTTTGGTTATTTGCTTGATGTTGTCCGGCAGTGTATACTCGAAGGGATACAGAGATATACAGCTGGTACATTGTTGGACAACTAATTTCTCTGAGCCCTGTTCAGATTTACATGCCACTGTATAAGTAATATTGTTAGGGTTGAACGGCTTCTTAGAACTATCGCTGATGGGTTTAAAATGGAGAGTGTGAGTAAGGAAAAGCTTGTGGATATTGATTATGTGCACTATTTTGTGATGAAGAGCTTTATACCAAGTACTTTAGACCTGAGCTCTTTCAAGATGCCTGGTATAAGATTATGGTACTTACTCATGTTATTATCATTTATTTTTGAAGAGCATCTCATGTTATTTTATTTTTGAAGAGCATGGTCACAAACATAGAAAGTGAATGCAAGCGATGAATGCGAAAGAGTAACAGGAGAATATGGGATGGGAGAGAGAAACGTCTTACTCGAAATCATGCCAAGGACAGTGCCAGTCTGATGAGGTGAATCCCAAAGTATGTAAAGATTTTGGTATGGGAACACGCGTCTAAAGACCAACAACCAAAGAAAGGACAAACAATGGTGAATGCTCTTCAAGGCGCAGTGTGCGCTACCACAGTCAAGACTCGCACATCAGGCACAAAGTG